CCACGGAACTTCCAAGAAGAGGAGCCAAAGCCTGCCATGTTCATAAGGTTAGTGACTGTGTGACTGTGGTTGATGTTCTAATTAGCACTTACGGCGAATTGTCCGATACTGACAGCATAGATCGGAGCAAAGAGTGGTGTCTTAGGGTGCTTCGTTGTTGGCGGCGCAACGGTCTTCACAATTTCGGCGACCGATCCGCTGATTCAGTAAGTTACTGAGGACAGAAAGTATCTGAGGCTCTGCGAGGAAACTTACATAGCGGCAGCCTGTCCTTGCAAGAGAGACTGGTGGTAATTGGTGAAGAACAGGTTGATAGCTGGTGCGCCCTGTTAGTGGGCTTGGCCTGGAAACATATTTCATCAGTAGTGAAATGACTAACCATAAATGTTCCAGATAACCTAGATAACTGATGTTAGCAGTGGTAAAGACGGCCTCGATAATGTGAATTGCTCACGTAGAAGTCATGGTAAGAGGCGTAGCCTGCATCCTTGCCGCTGGGAGGCGGGGTGCATGCGTTGAGGGCCACAAAATCGCATTGCCATGTAATCAAGCCCTGCGATTCAAGTCAGATCGAGATAACAACATGCAACGTTGGCAGGGTCATAGATAGGGCTGTCCGTACGGCGTTATCCAAATAGCATTGCGCAAAGCCCTTGTTCTGAGCTTCGCACTTCGCCGAATGGTTGGACCACCAGTACTGATAAGCGGTTAACACAGTCCCAAAAGTTAAATAGTTGCTGATCGGCGTACGTTGAGGTGGTTGTTCATTTCGAGAACCTGCCAGCATTCGGGCAGAATGCCGTCTGCGGAAAAGAAAGAGCACTGATCAACGGTAACATTCTGCGTGCCCGCATCCTGTCGGGGTTCCAGCACCTCGATCTCCTGTGCAAATGGCATGGGTGAAGCAATTGCGCCTAGCGCAAGCAGCGCAACGATGTTGAAGAAAATCATGATGTCGACACTCGATAAAGACTGAATAGGCGTGACATTCGCGTGGAGCAAAGATAAGAAGGAATGGAGATCCGCGATGTTGGGGTATTTGACAGAAGTGCTGGATGGGACAGAGAGGGTCTATAGTTGAGTTGCTAAGGCCGGCTCTGACACACTGCTCCGCGGGTGGTTCCTAAATCCGTCTGAAGTCGAGGCTGTGCCTGGTGCGCGCTCGATTCATGAACGGCGATCCCTACGCAACCATGTCTGGAGAAACTCTATTACAGCATCCAACCCTGTTTCCAGGCACACAATTTCATGCAGGGCGCGCTCCAATGCTAATAAGTCGAAATCAGATGATAATGGCACGTATCTGATAGATTAACTATGGACCAGGTCATGACTACGATTCCCTTGGACAACTAATATAGAATTCATATAGGGCTGTCACTTGGGCTATCTGCGGATGTTTGTCAAAGATGGATTAAGGTTGCCTCTCACTTGGAGTCTCAGTCGGCGATTCTTCCAGCCCTTATCTGCCGGGCCCCTCCCCTCAACAATTGTTGCGATACCATCCACATTCACTTACAGAGAATTGCTGATCTGCGACCTCTCAAACAAACACACCACGACCACCATCACCACAGTCTTTACGGCCAAACATTTCCAGCGCCACCTCACGATGCATATCATTTCACTCATTCAAATTTTCATCACTTCCTCATTGGTCGCACTTGCGGCAGCTGACTGCTGCTGGGGTGACCACTGGGCCGACACAAACTGGTTGTGGCTCAAATGGGACGAAGCCGCAGGAGTTGTCCGATGCGGAATTGAGGGCAACTTGCAACCCGGAACCAAATGCACCAGCGTAACCTACAAAGACGACAGCGGCAACACCAACGGACTAGTCAACGTCACCTTCGGCAGTGACCCTCAGCCATTTAAGTTCCGCATCGGCATTCAACCAGGAAGCTGCGACCTTCTGCCGAACGAAAAGGTTATCTCTGGTTGGGAGGGTTGGGGAGCGTACATGTGGGAGGGTCATGAGTTTAATGCGCAGAGGATGGAAGCCTGCACTCAGGCGAATTCTGCTTAAGACAAAATGAGATGAATCCATCTCAATACTCGTGAATGACCAACTTGACTGAAGGTCAACCGTAGCTTGTTTAGTTGTCGTTTACGAAGCGCATACCCTCACAGTTGTTACATGTACATACAAGACGGTCCTTGTGGACTTGCAAATAAAATCTTGGTGAATTCGGGAGTCACATCTCCGTGAACTTCAGAATTGCATTTCGGTGGGTTGTAGAACTTGGGCTTGAGTCTCTTGGTGGCGATTGCAGCACAGTAGACTTTGGAAATCCAATTAATCCGTGAATGACCATCGCGCTTGGCGCGCGTCAAACTTGGAATGCAGTTCTTTTTTTGACACCCAAGAACCACCGAACCACACTGCAATTACCCCTTCATCACCAGATGCCGTGCAATCCGTGGAAGAAAGTTCGCTTTAAACATCTGGAAATACGAATATCAGATATCAGATAGGCTCCTGTCATCCTAAAGTGAGGCTTGCGTGTTCGTCTACCCGCTCCCCCTCCATGCTGAGTCGAGACCCTTGGTCCGCGCATCCGATCGCGCAATTGAGTCAGGTCCCCCCCGACTTCCAAGAACCTTTTTTAACTCTACCTTATTGCCATAACCACACGTGCCGCAATGCCAAATACGTCGTGCCCCGCAATAACAAGGCACCACCCTTTTCAACTCGAGACAGGGGCCTTTGCCACTCGACAGGACATCCTTGAAGACTATAATACGATAAACAGTAATCATAGTCAGGCTATCCGTGGCAAGTGCCGTAGTAATTAAACTCCCCCACGCTTATCAGCGCGAATAGTGGTCACACGCACGTCCTCTTGTCCTCGTGGGCTGCTTCCCAAGTCGTCGAGGTATATAGCAAACGCTCCCGTCGTCGTCCCATCTAGGTTCCAACCATCCATGATCAGCGCAACCTTCAGACAAAACACCATCACAATGTTTACCAACTCACTATGGAATTTCATCACATTGGCATTGCTCATGATCTCAGGGTATGTGTTTCAAACCCCTCGACACCCAAAACACGGATCGACAGTCCTAACAAGTCACACAGAGTCCTTGCCAATGAGCACCGCAACTGCTACTGCAAAATCAACAATGTTCCCAACAACTGCCTGACACAAAAGGCATGCGAACACTACAAAGCAAACGAAAAGATCTTTGAGAAAGACAGCCCGGAATCAGTACAAGTCAAGATGATGTGGACAGTAAGTTGCTCACCGCCGGAAAAAGACTGACTCGACGCGGCTGCTAACCCTCATCCTCTAGATTTGCGCAACGATAGCTCCGAAAGATGGAGGCCGCATGCAATTTGTCACTGGATTTGGCGGAAACGAGTTTGAGGATTCATGTAAAGCGGCCATCGCCTCAGGGCAGTGCCCGGGTTCGGATGGCGATCTGAAGTCGCAGTGCCCCGACTAAGGGAGTTGAGAGCGAGCGGTTCGGTTTGCTGTGCTTTCTCAGCCTTTCTCTGCGAATCTTTCACAGTTTTGATACCACTATGCGTCTGAGCCATTTCAGATACCCTCAACACTCTCATAATGATATCACACGGTCTCAATACAACCTTTTTTTTATCCACACATCTTTCTTGCAGTGATGATCCGATCTTGTTCTGAGTTGATTATCCGATCGTCAGTGAGCTGGCGTTTTGGCTTGATGAATTGTTCCCCGCAATTGCCTCATGATTGAGCACATGGTCTAGACCTCACATCGCATCACGATTCACCTTGCTAGTCTGGACTCTGGAACCAGCTGAAAGCTCGCTATGACTAAGATCTATGAATACCTGGACGAAACGGGACCGTCGGCAGGAACCCTCGGAAAAGCCAATCTACAGTATCATCAACCCCGTTGTGATGGATACGCAGTAAGCTCCCGCGGTGCCATAACAATGCACGCTCCGCCGGCAAAGTCGCCAAGCAACGTGAGAACGGATAAGTTCCGAGCACTTCACGTGCCTTGGCGTATTGCTTGCGTCAGGTTGAGCACCTCCAAGCGCCGCCAACGGCGCCAACGGCGCTATCCGGCGAACCAACGTCGGGATCCCCGGTGTTGTCACATCCCCGTGTTCCCCACCCTAATCGGGCGGCCCGGAGGCATAGCCCTGCTTCGTGTTATATGTTGAACATGTCAACCACACTTGCGAGTAATTATTCTAAATGAACAATTAACACAAACTGAATCGTACTTATGGACGTGCTTTGATACGACACAGCGCCCTGATACGTCAGTAATTCACCCGATGATATTATCCGACGGTTCTCATCCGACTCATTACAGCCATGTGCACACCTTGGCATGGGCTTCCCGGACGAAAGATAAGGCCGATGGCAGAGCGGCTGGAAATACCACGCAGCAACAGCCCCACCGCAACTCCCCCACGGGGTATGGGACCTTTTGCGCGTGCTGGTCAGATGACCTGTGGACTCTCTCATTTGCAGAGGATGCAATGTCATGACCCATGCGTGCCCTACTATGTGGTATCTCTTCCATTCATGCCTGAACCCTTCTTTCTTAAAATGCTCTGACCACAAGGAAATAAGACCGAGAATGGGATACCCATGGCTTATCTTGTAGTCTATTACTAAACTTCATTTTTAGAGCAATTTGCCAATTTCTGGAGACACCATCAGCAGGTCACATCCGCCGATATCCGCCCAAACGGCGAACGTCCGGCGAATGAGGCATTGGTGCAGATAGGGCACATATTGGGCAGACGCGCTGAAACAAGCCCTTATACGAAAAACATCAGATACAGAGCTGGGTATCGCATACAACATTACATGAGGTCCCAAGACCTTTCTCCGAGGTTTCCAAACAAAGAACCACCCCAAGCTCCTGTTCTAGACCTTTGCCCCCTTTGCCCCTTGATCCCCGACTCGGGAACACTAATCCCTCCGTGGAACGCATGGAGCGGTTCATCTCAAGCGTCCGCCTCGATGCCCCCTGGAATACAAGCTAGTCAAGCCAGCTTAGGGAAACATCATGTCAATGTTCCCAAAGTTCAAGGTCGAGATGAAACCGCCATTATCCTGCCATTGTCAGCCCAGCCCAGCCCATGCCCAGCAACTTGACATTTAACTTACCATGCTATCCCAATCCCACTCTCCCAACATGTCAGTCCCAACCTCAAAGTCCATATCCAAGTCGTGTATGTCAGGCGCCCCGATCCCCACCCCTTCTTCAGGGACATCATCCCCGACCAGCTCCTTTAGCAAGTCATAGCACTCCGTGACTCTCTCCTCGCATGCCCTCTCAAAGTGCTTCTCGACCCGCTCGTCATCGACCCCGGCCTCGAGCACCTGCAGATGCGCCACGAGCAGCACGCTCAGCGCATGGCCCTTGATGTTGGTCTCGCCGGACTTGATCCGCGCCCTCGACCACCCGGCCACCGCGTCCAGGATCCCACGGAACTCAGGCCCGGCAAAGGACATTGACGGCCCGTTCTTGATCTCATCCTCTTTCTGGTGGATCAGCTCCAGCCCCACAGTCATGACGGCCTGGAACGGCACCGAGCGGTACGCCCCCGCCCCGTTGACCGTCAGCCAGAGAAAGTCCCGCTCGGAAGTATCGGCAGGTCTCATCGCCCCGGCGCCGTCTTTTCCGGGAGTCAGGAGCGAGTTCTCGCAGAGACGGAGGGCCGTGTCGACGGAGACCTTGCGGGAGAAGTAGTATATCGGGTTCCGCAGCGCGAGGGGTATGATCGGTTGGTGCAGCGCGAAGAACAGGCGGTAGGTCATGAACTGCGCGTACCGCATCGCGAATTGTGATATTTCCGGGTGGATTTTGAGCTGCTGCATCATCCTCTGGAGCGCGGAACTCAGCTCGCCGCTGTACCGCAACGTTTCCTCGTACACAGTATCCGACCTGAAGTCGTTCACCCTCGCCGTGACCGCCAATCGCGCAGGCAGCGACGCGTGCAGCGCGAGCGGCACCGTCATCTGCGTAAACGTCTTGGCGTCCTTGGGCACCGGGAACGCCGAGTCCATGTCCTCGACGAGCTGCGCGTCGTCCAGGTTCGCGGGCGGCTCGGTGTCGTAGTCGCGCGCCGAGATGAGCGGCGGTCCGCCCGCGTCGATGGCGCTCTGCAGTGCGATCTCGAGGATCGACGCCCATAGCCGCCGGCGCATCTCTGCGCGATACGGCGTCATCTTGACGAGCCCCTTGGGGTCGCGGTGCAGGCCCATGTAGATCGCCGTGCGGACGAGCGAGCCGGCCCCGATCCAGGAGAGGTCGCAGCCGATGTTGGCGGTATGGCGGAGGTAATGCATCAGGCAGCGGATCTGCAGCCCCGTCATGGTCATGCGGGACTTTTCGCACGGCATCATGAGCCAGAACATGCCCTCCCAGAACCACTGGATAGCGAGGTTTCTTAGGGTGAAGCGTTCGTCGTGGAAGGTTGCCCCGATAGCCATGCACAGCTGCATGAGCACGATGAAGGGCTCGTTCACGTCAGATGGGTTCTGCCAGTAGCGCTCGTAATCCGCCTTGAAGGTCGGTATGTGGATGATGCGCTGGACGGATTCAAAGGTGCGGAGGTAAGCGTCGATCAGGGCGTCTGCAACTTCGCGGCTGGGCATGTTTTTGCCGATGGAAATTGTGGCAAAGGTTGGTGTGCGGCGGGCCTTGATTATGCGGCCTAGGTTTTTGCATTTTTCCAGGCCTTGGTAGAGGTAGGTTGTCTTTTCGTTTTCAAATTTCTTGGCGAATGTGACTAGACGGCAGAGCTAGATGTTGTTAGTTTCAGTCCGAGGTTTGTGATGAGCAGAAAGGACTTGCAACGTTGTTGAAGATCTGTTGGCTCATCAGGACAGCTCAAGAGACTCGTATCAACAGAGAATGATGAAACGGATGGAAAAGAAATCTTTGGGGATACAACAAAATATACAACAAAAAGGAGCTAAAGCTGAGATTTGACGAAGTGCGCCAAGATGAGAAATGTGATAAAGAAAAGGAGTACTGTTCAGGATAGCTCATAAGAGTCGTAGCAGCAGAAGACGACAGGTTGGATGAAGAGAATAATGAGAAGACAGAAGAAGGGCAAGAACAGCACTAAAGAGGTAAGGATGAATATTGAAGTGTCAAAAGAGTCAAGAGGGAGAACAAGTGAACTGAAGTCCAGGGATCGAAAATGGGGCAAGTGAGGATGTAAGTAAGCGAAAAGACGTAAGACGTACCATATCAGCCGCATTCATCCAATGGCTTTGTCCAAAGAACCTCGTCTTGCTAACACAACCCCGGCTGTACCTCAACCCTTCTCTCATCACCGTACTCTCCACAGCCGCCGTCTCATCCCGGTCATCACCCCTCACCATCAAATCAGACAACTGCTGCTCAAGCTGCTTCACCCTGTCCACGAGCGAATTCACAGTCGACGACGAGCCGTGATTACTATTACTCCCGGGCGTCGAGGCCGTGTCCCGCACACTCCCGCCAGGAACAGCAGCAACCGGAGCAGGCCGCGGCTGGATCACAGGCTGCCACAGCCCGAAGTCCGCGGGGCCAGAGTGCTCCCCGGCGCTGGCGGTCAGCCCGGGGATAAGGATCGGTGAGGGGTCGTCCGAGTCCGCGGCCCGCGTCGACGATGGGGCCGAGTGTCGCGGGGTGGGCAGGGGTTGGTACAAGATGGGCTCTGGGAGGGCCAGGGCCGCGGCACCGGATTGGGGGAACCCGTGCTTCGGGCTTTCGTCCCGGTTTTTCCGCCCCAGGGTTGAGGTGTTGGTGTTGTTGGTCGTGGCCTGGGTTGTGTATGTGCATAAAGCGTTCTTGGAGCGCACGCAGGTGCCACAGGGTAGGTTTCTGTCGCAGCGCACTTTGCGGCGGCGGCAGGCTTCGCAGGCCAAGGCGGGTCTGCGACGTTTCTTCTGCGCCGAGGCCGAGATGGGGAGGGTAGGGGGTTCCATTATCCCGCGATGCCAAGTTGTAAAGATCTCTCCGAAGGTGGACAGTAAAAAAAAAGCTTGGTGGTGATGTGAGATGGGGGATAACAGAGAAGGGGGGGCCGGCGGCGTGGGTTGCTCGGCCTTTTGTCTTTGAGCCCCGAAGGGAGAGGGCGGGATCAGAAGGATCGCTGTTGCCTGGGCGTGTGGGCCGCAGTCAATGGAGCATGAAAAATGCTTGAAGCATAGTTTTATCAGATGATCAGATAACGACGCGTCGTTGACGAGGAAAAGTCGGACTTTGGGGTGTTGAAGATGGGCGATGCTAGTGCTTATCCCCGAGATGTCGTCGGGATTTCTGCGTTTAAGGTGTGTTACGCCCGCCATACACCGAGCTGTTGAGGCTTCCGATTGGTCGGATAGGCAGTCCTCGAAAAGGCCGAGGGCAATTTGCCGACTTACACGGTTGACCGAGAAGGATTCGCATGCCGGAGACTAGTGGGTTTCTAGAGATACTCGCATTTTCTTTGTGTTAGCAGGAGTTCTGAAATGGCATATCGAGCTTTATGAGGCTGAATGGATAGAAAATTGGTATGTATATAATGGAGGCTTTCCTCCAAGTGAAAATGTCTCCTGTTCGTGAAGCACTACAACAATTCGAATATCACCACACAAAGGAGCAGTGCTTGCACAAAAGGCAACAAAATGAGCGTCTCAAGTCAAACTTCAATCTCACTACCCAAGGGAGACCCTGAAAAGGTACCGGTGGCCACCGAAGCCATCCCAGCCAAATCCCAAGATGATATCGAGTTCCCCGAAGGAGGTCTTCAGGCATGGCTTGTGGCGATAGGGAATGCCTGCATTTTGTTCTGCACCTCAGGCTACTCCAACACCTTTGGCGTCTTCCAAGCATACTATACCCTGCACCAGTTCTCCGACAAGTCTGCGGATGCCGTCTCCTGGATCGGATCTACACAGGTGTTTCTGGGTTTGTTCGCGGCGATAATCGGAGGTCCGCTGTTTGACCGATATGGTGCCTGGGTAAGTTTCCTGACGAAACCGAGAACGAAGACTGACAATCGCCAGGTCATCCGTCCCACGGCAGTCGTCTACCTCTTCGCCATCATGATGACGTCCCTCTGCACTCAGTACTGGCAATTCATGCTCGCCCAGGGCATCCTCCACGGCACAGCCTCCGGCATCCTCATGTTCTCCGCCATGGCCTCAACCCCCCAATACTTCCGCAAACGCCGCGGCGTCGCCATGGGCCTCGCCATGACGGGCTCCTCCATCGGCGCCATCATCTACCCCATCGTCCTCTCCAAACTCCTCAACGACTCCTCCCTCGGATTCGGCTGGTCCGTCCGCATCACGGGCTTCATCATGATCCCCGCGCTGCTCTTCGCCTCTCTCACCGTGAAAGCGCGCCTGCCCCCGCGCCGCACCAGCTTCCTCCTCCCGGCCGCCTTCACGGACAGGCTGTACGTGACCCTCGTCGCGTCCATGTTCTTCCTCTTCATCGGCATGTTCGTGCCGCTCTTCTACCTGCCGACGTACGGCATCCTGCACGGCATGACGGAGACGCTGGCGTCGTACCTCATTGCGATGATCAACGGCGCCTCCGTCTTCGGGCGCGTTATCCCCGGGATCATGGGCGACAAGGTCGGCCAGCTCAACGCGCTGCTCTTCGCGGGCGCGTCGACGGGGGTGATGATCTTCTGCTGGCCCGCGGCGACGACGCAGAGCGGGATCATCGGGTTTGCTGTGGTTTTTGGATTTTGTTCCGGGGCGATTATATCGGGCGGCGCCGTGGCGATGACGCTTTGCCCGAAGGATGTGAGGGATATGGGCACATATATCGGGATGGGGACGGCGCTGGCGTCTTTTGCGGCGCTGATGGGGCCGCCGGTGAATGGGGCTCTGTTGGATCGGTACGGGGGGTTTGAGCAGGTGTCTATTTTCAGCGGTGTCATGTGTATGACTGGCGCTTTGTTGGTGTTGCTTGCGAAGGCATTTACTCCTCAGGGGATGCTTGGAAAGGTCTAAGGTGGAGGTTTTGGGTAGAAGATGTAAATAGACGCAAATGCTTGTCACACAATATTGAAGTTACGTGTAGTATATGGGTGCTCTCATAGAATAGAAATGGTTGTTGGCTCACATGTTTTTACACTTGCTATTCACCGCTGATAATCTAGTACTGTGGTGCTGAGGATGAAGCAGTCAAGAGGTATTTCGCTGGTGTCTATCATACCAGCATGGGCACTGAACGTTTGACATCTCAAAAGACCAAGTCAATTGCACATTGCGATGCTCATCCAAACAGCCCATCCTCTTTCAGGGTGTCGTCTTGCTCCCATGACCGGGCATCCCACGCGCTAAATCTGTAACCACCGCGACAAGTTCATCCGATCTCTGGCCGGTTGCGGTTAGCCCACATTCCCTCGACGCCTGGTTCGTCACAAATCTGGCACCACAGACACAAGGGCGGAACATTCCGATGGGTTTTAGCTCAAAGGTAACTGCTTGATTTCTAGGTAAATAGGAAAAGGAGACCAAATGTACAAGACAGAAACCTCTTCCGCACCCGAGATGCAGCATTAGTCAGGAGATCATTGTACACGGGAAGTAGGTTGTGGTAAGTCGTCGTTCCGTTGCCGAGGTCCCTGATACGTATGCAGGGGTATTCTCGACCGTCTTTCACTGCACCCTCCGCTTCTTCCTCCCTTTCGCAAACCACAGGTCGTATCCTGTCCTCGGCCTGAACGTCTATAATTCCCACGCCGGATACGCCTCAAAACTCATCAAGCCTCCGCCACGATCACGCAACTCGTTTGTCGTCATCCATTTACAGAAGGAGCTCGAGGGGGTTCTCGAGGACCTTCTTGAGCTCCTTGAGGAACTCGGCGCCGACGGCACCGTCGACGACCTTGTGGTCGAAGCTGCCGGTGATGGTGATCTGGTCGTCCCACTCGACGCCGGTGCCATCCTCGGTGATGGCGGGGACGGCGACCTTCTTGGTGGTGCCGATGGCGAGGATGGTGGCCTGGGGAGGGTTGATGACGGCGGTGAAGTTGTCGACAGCATCGTTCATGCCCATGTTGGAGATGGAGATGGAGCCGCCTTGGTACTGCTCAGGCTTGAGCTTGCCGTCGCGGGCGAGCTTGGCGAGCTTCTTGACCTCGGTGGAGATGCCCTCGAGGCCACGGCCCTCGACAGCGGTGACGATGGGGGTGATGAGGCCGGTGGGGGTGGAGACGGCGACAGAGACGTCGACGGTGTTGTGCTGGCGGATGACATCGCCGCGCCAGCTGGAGTTGGCCTGGGGAACCTTCTTGGAAGCGACACCGATGGCCTTGATGAGGAAGTCGTTGACGGACAGCTTGTACTTGCCGTCGGCGGTGCTGTTCAGAGCCTGGCGGAGCTTGAGGAGCTTGCTGACGGAGATGCTGCTGGAGACGTAGAAGTGAGGGTTGTTCTGGGTGGACTCCTGGAGGCGGGAGGCGATAACCTTGCGCATGCCGGAGATGGGGATGTCCTCGTAGGAGGCGACGGGGCCAGCGGCGGCGACGGGAGAGGAAGCGGCCTTCTTGACGTCCTCCTCCGTGATCTTGCCGCCCTTGCCGGAGCCCTTGACGTCCTTGATGTTGATGCCCTTCTCCTTGGCGAGAGTAATGGCGCCGAAGGAAGCGTTGGGGAAGCGGTCGAGCGCGGACTCGAGCTTGCCGGAGGGGCTGTTGTCCTCGGGGGCGGACTCGGGTTCGGGGGCAGGGGTGGGGGCGGACTTGGATTCCTCCTTGGCCTCCTCCTTGGGCGCGGGCTTAGCGGCGTCACCACCGGCGTCGGCGGCAGTGAAGCCCTCGAAAGCGGCAACGTCGGTGCCCTCATCGACGAGAATGGCAATGGGCTGTGCGGAAAGACAATGCGATCAGCTTGGTGTGCAGACATTTGGAGACAGTGGCAGCGAAAGTGGCGGCGACGAGGGCGACGGAGGACAGCAAACATGGAGCACCGTTGGGGTTGGACCTACGTTACCGACGGCGACATCCTTCTCGCCAGCGTCCTTGAGGATCTTGGCAATGACACCCTCCTCCTGGAACTCAAAGTCCATCTGGGCCTTGTCGGTCTCGATCTCGACGAGGACATCACCGGGAGCGATGCTGTCACCAGGCTTCTTCTGCCAGGCTCCGATATTTCCCGCCGTCATGGTGGGCGACAGGGCAGGCATCTTGATGACCTGGTGCGGGGGGTATGAGGCGTAACATCTCAGGATCTGGGTGCTGCGGACGAGAGTGTTGGGCAGCACGCGCCTTCTAAGGACCGTGGAGATCATTTTGGATGAAATAGCTTCCGCGGGCGCGAAAGCAGGGAGACTGGACGGAGGTGGGTTTAGATATCGAGGGGTATTCGACTCCAAAAAGACTCGTGGAGGAAACCGTCAGACGTCGGACAATTGACTTTGGCGTTCAATTGCTGGACGGGTTGAAGCAGACTCGACGGGGACTCGAGGGGGGAGGGAAGGAAAAAAAGGAAGAGGCGACGGGACGCGGGATTATTTTTGGGACGACGAGGTTTGATGCTCGAGATTGTCGGACGGGAATCTTTCCTTGGGGCTGGAGTTTTTTGCGTTGAGCTCCGTCGCTGGATGGAGCTTGAGACGCTAGTCCCGATTGGGTCTTAGCGCGTCCCTACAAAATACGCCGCAGGGAGGGCCGTTAGCTGCGACAGATTTTTTTAAGGGTGCACCGAGCACCTTCACTGAGTGTTCACTGACTGACTGACAGTTTTTAGTGAGTTGGGTGGTCAGTGCGCCGACATTCAAGGGACGGGACTGGACCGCTGGTCGCTAAAAGAGTCCAGCGGTTCAGTGGGTGGCAGTGGACAGGTTTCGCCGATAATTGTGGCCTGTGGCCGGTGGCCGGTGCATCGAACGACGAACTGCGAGCGAGTCCAGCCAACCGGGTCCGCAGTCGCAGTCGCCGTTGGTTGGTTGTACCCAGGCGGTGTTGTGAATGACCGAGTGACAG